AGATATTTTATAGTGATCCTGCGCGACTGAGAGGACTCCACCGCCGAGGCTAAACAAGCCAGGGCATCGACATGCGTGTTCTTGTCTCGGGACACTTGTTTGATCTCAATTTTTCTGAATCTTTGGATTACAGTTGTCGCCTGGTGATAGTAAGCCTTCATCCTAGGGTCCCTTGTCTCAAACTCTCCGTTAACTTGGTTGACTACCAGCATGAAATCGCAATGCACGATCAAGTCCGTCACTCCAGTTGCCTTAGCTAACCGAAGTCCTGAGATGAGGGCCTCGTATTCAGTTTCGTTATTCGACGTTTGGAATCCCAGCCGAACGGCCTGCTCTGCGACAATCCCATCTGGAGAAATCAGCAAGATACCGATCCCAGACCCTTTACTATTTGACGAACCGTCCACACACAAAAGTCATGGCAATCCTTCACAATTTGTTGGAGACGCTATGTCGGGAGGAGGAAGTCTTTCTAGAACGGGATGTTCTCCCGAAAACTCAGCTATGAAGTCCACCAACACCTGACCCTTTACCGCGGTTCGAGGTTTGAAATGAATGTTGTGTTCCCCCAGCTCCACTGCCCACTTGAAAATCCTTCCGGAGAGTTCAGCTTTCCTCAAAATGGCCTTTAAGGGCTGATCGGTAAGAACGGTAATTGGGTGTGCCTGGAAATAATGCCTCAGTTTTCTTGCAGTGGTGACCAGGGATAGAGCCAATTTCTCTAGGGGCAGGTATCTTGTCTCTGCGTCCAGGAGCGCCTTGCTTATGTAATAAATCAGCTTCTGGCGGTGCTCATGCTCACGAATAAGTACCCCGCTTACCGCAAATTCAGACACGCCCAAGTACAAGAAGAGCATTTTCCCTTGGATAGGGACGGATAAGGTCAGAAGAGTCCTTAGGTATTCCTTGATTCTAGCCAGGGCGTCTTCGCACCTCTGGTTCCACATATCTTTTCCAGCACTCTTGATTGCTCCGAAAAAGAGTTTGCATTTGTCTGAGGAGCGTGAGACAAAACGGTTAAGTGCTGCTAGCATCCCCTTGAGCTTTTGGACTTCTCGGACAGTTCAGGGGCTCTGGATGTCCAGGATTGCTTGAATCTGATCCGGGTTAGCTTCGATTCCTTGTTGGCTGACAAGATATCTGAGAAATTTATCCAATTCCACTCCGAAAACGCACTTTGCCGCGTTCAGCTTCAACCCGTACTCCCTGATGGTGGAGAAGGTATATGCCAAATCTGCCAGATGATCACAACTTCGTTTGCTCTTTACCAGCATATCGTCAATGTAGACCTCCATGGTGTTGCCGATCTGCTTTTTGAACATCCGATTCATCAGTCTTTGGTATGTTGCCCCGGCGTTCTTTAGTCCAAACGGCATCACTTTGTAACAGTAAACTCCCTTCGGAGTGATAAATGCCATTTTTTCTTGATCTGGGGGATGGAGAGGGATCTGGTGATATCCTGCTCGGGCATCCAAGAAGTCCATGCGTTCATATCCGACAGTGGCGTCTACTAGCTGGTCCACCTTTGGTAGGGGTAGTCATCCTTGGGACATGCCTTGTTTAGATCTGTGAAGTCTATGAAGACACGTCATTTTCCCCCCTTCTTCTTCGCGCAAACTGTGTTAGACAGCCATTCTGGGAACTGTATCTCTCGAATGACGTTGGCCTTCAGGAGTTTGTCGATTTCTTCTTTGACGGCGAAGGCGAGATGCGGGGCCATGTGTCGTGGCTTTTATTTGACTGGCTTGTGTGCCGGGTTAACATGCAGCTTGTGCGTGATTATCTCGGGGTCTACCCCCATCATTTCCATTGCGTTCCAAGCGAACACGTCTGCATTTCCCCTTAGGAACTCAATCATCTCCTCCTGTTCGGCTGCAGGCATCGCAGTTCCAACTAAGAAATGTCTTTTTTCCTCTCCCTCCACGAAGGGCACCTTCCGGAGGTCCTCCACCGACCGCTCAGTTGGGTCTATCCGGGGGTCATCTATTTCTGGACGCCCGGACTGTGATTGCTATTTCTCCATGATCTCTTCTGGGGCTCGCCCCTTTTCTTGGGTGAACGCCCTGGCTCTAGCAGCTGAATAAATACAATTTTTTGCGGATGCTTGGTCCCCTCAGATCTCCATAATACCTTCTGACATGATAAATTTTAGTTTCTGGTGGTAAGTGGAGTGCACCACTCCCNCTGGCTCTAGCAGCTGAATAAATATAATTTTTTGCGGATGCTTGGTCCCCTCAGATCTCCATAATACCTTCTGACATGATAAATTTTAGTTTCTGGTGGTAAGTGGAGTGCACCACTCCCAACGCATGCAGCCATGTTCGCCCCATGATCACGTTGTAGGTAGAGTCCGTATCAATTACGACAAACTCGGTGTTGATGATGAAGGGACCCGTGACAACTGGCAATGTGATTTTGCCTACGGGCAGGGTGAACGAGCCGTTGAATCCGATGAGGGGTGTCCTGACCTTGGTGAGGTCCTTGAGGCCAAGACCCATCCGTTTTAAAGTCTCGGAGTACATCACTTCCGAGGAACTTTCAGAGTCTATCAACACCCTTTTGACGTCGAATTTTCCTATCTTCAGGCTCAAGACAAAGGTGTCGTTATGAGGATTCACTACGCCTGTCAAGTCCGTGTCGGAGAACGTGATGCTGGGCTCACCAGCCCTGGCCCTTTTACTAGGTGGCCCTTCATCATCCTCGGCTACCTTCCTTGTAAAAGCTACCCTCTTGAGGTCGGACTCGAGTTCCTTGGACGTGGGGCGATCTAGGGGACATACATGGATGACATCTATGACGTTGTCTAACTCCTCGGTCGGGGCAAGGGTGTGTCTCTCTTCTGGCCTGGGCTCTATGTATTCTTTCAAGTATCCGTCTCGGACCAATTTTTTCAAGAACGATGTGTATACCCTGTAACTTTCGGTGCGATATCCGAAATCCCGGTGATAAGAACACCTAACCTTTTGATCACGGGTGGAGGGATCGCTCTGCATCCTGGGCTGCCACTTGAAGAACGGCTCATGCTTGATTTTATGGAGCAACTTGAAGATGAGTTCCTTGAACATAGTATGAACCCCTTTGGACAAACTCCCTGGAGGAGGTAGCAATCCCTTTCGGGGAGTATCTTTCCGCTCCCTCGCCTTTTTCTTGGATTGGAGGGTTCGGCCTTTGTTGCTTCCCATCTCGTCCTCGATCCTTGAGTATTTATTTATCCCGGCCATCAGCTCGCCCATATCCGAGGGAGTCTTCTTGGTCAGGGATCGGTACAGATCCGTGTCCCTCGCCAAGCCGAGCCTGAAAGACGCCGCTGCCATGACTTCCGAGCAGTCTTCTACCTCATTTACCTCTTCCCAGTATCGGATGACATACTGGCGAAGGGTCTTGGATTCCCTACGTCTGAGCGTTAGCAATGATCCAACGTCTTTGGGCCGCTTACTCCCCGTAATGAATTGAGCCAGGAACTGCCTCGTCAATTCCTTCCACGATCCAATACTGTTGGAGGGAAGTGCCTTGAACCACTTCATCGCAGAGTCCCCCAAGCTCATAGGAAACACTCGGCAGAGGAACCATTGGTCCGAATGATAGAGGGATATCATCTGCTTGTATTGCCTGAGATGGGCTTCAGGATCGGACCGCCAGTCATAAGTTTTGAACCTCGGCACGACAAACTTTCTTGAAACCTCCATCNTGTGTATACCCTGTAACTTTCGGTGCGATATCCGAAATCCCGGTGATAAGAACACCTAACCTTTTGATCACGGGTGGAGGGATCGCTCTGCATCCTGGGCTGCCACTTGAAGAACGGCTCATGCTTGATTTTATGGAGCAACTTGAAGATGAGTTCCTTGAACATAGTATGAACCCCTTTGGACAAACTCCCTGGAGGAGGTAGCAATCCCTTTCGGGGAGTATCTTTCCGCTCCCTCGCCTTTTTCTTGGATTGGAGGGTTCGGCCTTTGTTGCTTCCCATCTCGTCCTCGATCCTTGAGTATTTATTTATCCCGGCCATCAGCTCGCCCATATCCGAGGGAGTCTTCTTGGTCAGGGATCGGTACAGATCCGTGTCCCTCGCCAAGCCGAGCCTGAAAGACGCCGCTGCCATGACTTCCGAGCAGTCTTCTACCTCATTTACCTCTTCCCAGTATCGGATGACATACTGGCGAAGGGTCTTGGATTCCCTACGTCTGAGCGTTAGCAATGATCCAACGTCTTTGGGCCGCTTACTCCCCGTAATGAATTGAGCCAGGAACTGCCTCGTCAATTCCTTCCACGATCCAATACTGTTGGAGGGAAGTGCCTTGAACCACTTCATCGCAGAGTCCCCCAAGCTCATAGGAAACACTCGGCAGAGGAACCATTGGTCCGAATGATAGAGGGATATCATCTGCTTGTATTGCCTGAGATGGGCTTCAGGATCGGACCGCCAGTCATAAGTTTTGAACCTCGGCACGACAAACTTTCTTGAAACCTCCATCTCTCCGATCTCCCTGGTAAAGGGTATTTGTATGACCTCGTCTTCGACCTCATCTTGGACAGCCTTACTCTTTCTCCTGGATTCCAATTGGGCTTTGAGATCAATTTCCTCACTGACGGGATGTCTTCTGAAGTCTTTGAGTTCATCAATAGGCCCCCTATTTCCTGGGCGCCGTGTGGATAGGGTAGAATNCAAACTCCCTGGAGGAGGTAGCAATCCCTTTCGGGGAGTATCTTTCCGCTCCCTCGCCTTTTTCTTGGATTGGAGGGTTCGGCCTTTGTTGCTTCCCATCTCGTCCTCGATCCTTGAGTATTTATTTATCCCGGCCATCAGCTCGCCCATATCCGAGGGAGTCTTCTTGGTCAGGGATCGGTACAGATCCGTGTCCCTCGCCAAGCCGAGCCTGAAAGACGCCGCTGCCATGACTTCCGAGCAGTCTTCTACCTCATTTACCTCTTCCCAGTATCGGATGACATACTGGCGAAGGGTCTTGGATTCCCTACGTCTGAGCGTTAGCAATGATCCAACGTCTTTGGGCCGCTTACTCCCCGTAATGAATTGAGCCAGGAACTGCCTCGTCAATTCCTTCCACGATCCAATACTGTTGGAGGGAAGTGCCTTGAACCACTTCATCGCAGAGTCCCCCAAGCTCATAGGAAACACTCGGCAGAGGAACCATTGGTCCGAATGATAGAGGGATATCATCTGCTTGTATTGCCTGAGATGGGCTTCAGGATCGGACCGCCAGTCATAAGTTTTGAACCTCGGCACGACAAACTTTCTTGAAACCTCCATCTCTCCGATCTCCCTGGTAAAGGGTATTTGTATGACCTCGTCTTCGACCTCATCTTGGACAGCCTTACTCTTTCTCCTGGATTCCAATTGGGCTTTGAGATCAATTTCCTCACTGACGGGATGTCTTCTGAAGTCTTTGAGTTCATCAATAGGCCCCCTATTTCCTGGGCGCCGTGTGGATAGGGTAGAATCCTCCTTGGACTCATCTCTCTTCCTCCGTCTAGACAATCCTCGTTGGAGGTCATCCAGGGCTAATGGCCTTGCCTTCCTTGAATGGTCGTTAGGAGGGTGCTCATTGGCTCTCGATCACTTTGGGGCCCAGGAGCTTTCTGCCTTGTTGTTTAGATGATTCCTTAGATCCTTCGTTTCAGCCTCCCGGGCGGGGAGCCCACAAGAGAGGAATGAGTCCCTCGACCCTTCGCCGGAGGCGGCAAATTCGTTGAGCCGGCTTAGGACGTTTACATTGTCCTTTTTCAGCTGTCGTAATCTATCGCCAAACTTTTCTTTGATCACCTCCGCCAGCTGACGAGCCAGGGGGGCTGATCCTCCTGACCTGATTCCCATACTGGTTTGAGGGGTAACCCCTCTTGACTGAGTAGAGGCATTTTTATTCCCTTCAGTGTGATCTCTTCCTCGGTGGTGATAGGGAGCTTGTAATTCAAGACTTCTTTGGTGGGGACCTTTCCCTTTTTGTCGAGTGTTCACCATGATCACTGTTCTTTATAGAGAAAAAACTAGGAAAACTAGTCGTTTCCCACAGACGGCGCCAGATTGTGTGTGCTAGATCTTGCACAATATAAAAACGAGAATAGATCTCTCCCTTGGTGAACTCGAGTGAGTCAGTTGAGTGGTCAACCACGCTGCTTAGAACAGCCTGTGAGATCCGGTGGTAACCTGGAACGGTAATGGGAGACCCTCGCGGATCAAAGGAACGATCCAGTAAGGTTGAAGAAAGGTTCCGGGAACAAAGAAGAACAAGTTAGAAGGGCGCCGGAGTGTTTTCCGGCGTATCCCCTCTGACGATCAAGTCAGTTTTTGAGAGAGATGAAGAAGAAAACACTGAGTATAATTTGTAGCAAAAGTTTCACCTCNAGAAGGGCGCCGGAGTGTTTTCCGGCGTATCCCCTCTGACGATCAAGTCAGTTTTTGAGAGAGAGGAAGAAGAAAACACTGAGTATAATTTGTAGCAAAAGTTTCTCCTCTTCTTCTTGCCTTTAGTGAGGAGTATTTATACCTCAAATACTCATGATTGTTGTCAGTGTGGTCAGTAGGTGATCATTAGATACAGGCAACGTGCGCACTGATTCCTATGAGGAATGTCTTCTCTCTTAACTGCTCGGGACCCCGAGCAATCAAGTCTGTGTCATCGGTCTGCCGACGATTCAATGAGCTCCTCTCGGGGAGGATGTAATAAATGCCCAGCCTTAGAGACATTTATTGTCTTTCACTTCTGAGCCTTACTGCATTGAATGCAGTCTTATCAAGGGAATGATGTAATTAAATGCTTGTTTTCCCAAGTCGCGTGTCAGCAAGGTCATGCGGTCTTTCTGTCTCTAATGTGACACAATATTCCACGCGTCCATTCCTCATTGGCTGTGGCCCCTGTCTTCCTGTGCCTTCTAACACCAATTGTGTAAGACGAGGTCATGATAGCTAACCTAGCCTAGCTTAGGCTAGTGACCAGTGCATCAATAACCTCTGCTGGAGCAGAGAACTTCATCATGGATGAGAGGGGGTACATCTTGGTACCGAGGAAAAGGCACATCTCGGAACCGAGGAAGGGGTACATCTCGGAACCGAGGAAGAGGTACATCTTGAATCCGAGAGGGGGGAGGCCTAGTGACCGATGTACCATATCAGACCGAGGGTACGTGTCGGTACATAAAAACGTACTGGATGTCACTCGATCCCATGATAAGTACCTCGGGGTAGAGGGGACTTGTAACCCAATGAGTACGTGATCTCGATAACAAGGATCAGTGACACCGAAGACACGTGTCTTCATCTTGGAGTATTCCGAAAATGTCCCATCAGTTATTATGGTGCATGCTTTTCCTCATTTCATATTACCTTTTCTAATTAAATTCTCTCACTTTCGAAGCTCCTATTGGATAAAGTTGTTAGTGGCCGGTGTAGGAAAAATGAATGGAGAGTTATCTGCAACTTAGTTAAATTTGAACATTAGCCTGACTGAAATTTTGGGTTTTAGGGTCATAATCCAAATTGGTGAATTTGATGCAAACCAGAATCAACTCGAATTCCAGTCGAAGTTATACAATCAAAGATTTAGACTTGAATTAAACTCTAAGTAAACCCAATCTATTATTTGATTGTGTAACACACTTTAATATGGGTTCAAAAAATTAGGCATGGATAATATTCGAATTTAAAGGTATAGGTTGAATTTGTATTCGAGTTAAACTCAGGTCAAAGATTTTTGAATCTGGGTTGACACCATATTAACCTCTCAATCTGCTCAAGTTAAACTCTTGAGCATACTTGGCATCTTGTTACTCTTTCGGAGAAAAAAGAGACAAATATGCCCCCACCAAGACTATTATTTACACATGCAACCACCAAAAGATTTTTATAATTTTTTATTTTTTGGGGACGAATAAGTTGCATCAAGAGCTACATAATTATGTTAAAAACGGGGGAACTGCTATTGGTGAATCTTTGTCTAGAATCGAAGCTAACCTTTACTCAAATCAAGTTTTTTTATAATTTCTTTACTTAAATTTAGATAAAGATTTGAATGGTCTTATATTGATTGTGACATCGGATAACCCACTTTGGCGGCTACCAAAGCTGAATAAAATTTGAGCCAAAAATAGTACACTAATACAACATTGTTATGGTAGAGGCATAGAGCTTTCTCTATAACTTCAAAATGGGTAGGCATGAGGACCACCCCACCTCCTCGTAATACATGGTCGTAGTTGCCGGGTAACATGCACTCATGAATGGTTTATCATCTGTATATTCGGTGCTCTTGATGTTTATAATGCATGCAGGAATTTGAATGTGATAGGAAGCTTTATCATCTAGGAAAAGGCAAAAATTAGACACAAAAATGGTGGCTGCTTTTTGAAGCTCATGTGGAGGTTCTTAAGATGGGGGACATAACAGCTGGCTATATATGGTCTCTTTTCTCTTCCTCAAGCCCAAAAGTTGCTTTTATTTGCAGTTGGTCGATGACTGTAATTTCATCTTCTTAATTGTATTTCCTTTTCAGAAAAATTGATTCAACATATATCATTTGAATCAATGTTTCTGAAAAAGAAATACAATTAAGAAGATGAAACTACAATCATCGACCAACTGCAAGTAATAGTAATTAATGCATGCCCTTTTATAAAACAAAAATTTTTCTGGTTGAATGACAAAGCTAATGATTGTGATTAACAGGAAAAATTGGGTGACAAACCTCTGTCAGCTAGGTTCTTTATTGAAAGGAAAAAAGCTTAGCTGGGAATGATATTCCATTGATTGGCTAGAGTCTATACTTGTGTGGCCCAATAAATAAAGTCCTTCACTAATCAAAGTACAATGTCTCGATGTTAAAGCCTTCGAAGGCTTGTTTGGATTAATTTTTAGGAAGAGTTTACGTTGACTTTTTTAAACTATTTCAAACTCAATTTTTTTCTTACAAATATGAGATTTAATGTTGAATTCGGTTCATACTTATATTTGATATGTAACATATATACATACTAGTTATTGCATGTGCCTGAAGGCACAAAGTAATAAAAAATAGTAAATAATAAATATATTTGTATTTATATTCAAAATCAAATCACAAATATAGAGAAAAAATAAAGAAATTTAAGTATCGATTTGTAATGGAGGTGAAAGGTGATAGGCGGCAATAGTGGTGATAGGAGACAGTGATGGTTGTGTTGGGTGACAATGACTGTATTGGCCTAGGTGGTGGTAGTGACGACGGTGATGGTAGTAGTGGTGGTGGCGATGACGGTTGTGGTAGTGGTGTGGGTGGCGGCGACGACGATAGTGGCGTTGATGTTGGCGGTGGTGGTGGTTTTAAATACTATTTTTTTTTTTAAAAAGTATTTATAATATGTAATTTCTATAAATACTTTTAAAAAATCACTCCAAATACACTCTTAGGGACTTTTTTTCCTATTAAATTTAGGGTATTAATACTAACCGTTAGATTAACTTTAAAATAAAATTTAAAACGATCTCAACCGCGAATAGCAAAAGTCATTTTGTTTATCTTTTGAGATTTGAATTGTAAGTTACTTTATTATATAGATAGAACCCATGAATATATTACAATTATTATCAACCACTTATTCCGTAAATGACTATTTTGTCACTTGATCAATTCAATTTATACTTATATTTGTTTACGTATATTTTCTTGTGTCATTGGGATATCATATTTGATTTTTTTTTTCCTTCCTAACTTATGAAATAAAACATCAATATTTATAAAATATAACTATTATTCATAACCATAATAAAACACAATAAAACATTAACCATATAAGACATTGTTACATTAAATTGGATGAGATTGGGGTGAGATAGGATAAATAGGGTTCTAAGAGGTACAGTTGCCTTTTGTTATCGTTAACTCATTAACCCTCTTCTTAAACCCCCCGCTCCCCCCAAGTTTGACGAATCCTATGTTCATTGGCTTAGTCTTCGGGCCAGCTGTGGGTTGGACTTGGCAACCCAAACTTGAAAATTAAACCCAAACATGGGATTTGACGGTTTTTGAGACTATTTTCCCTAAACTTTGGACAACAATTCCCCCGAACCCACAAAACAAATAGGCCACGAGAGGAATTGGATTGCTTCTAAAATTTCTATTATAACCAAGCTTCATGTGGTTATTATGGGATTTGAGGAGGGTCATATGTACACAATCTTATGCTAGTATACAGAGAGACTATTTTATGACTCGAATCCTTGACGCTAAGTTCACAATAAAACACCCATACCATTGCATTAAAACCCACCCTCAGAACTTCAATAAGCAAGGGGTATAATTTTATAGTTCTGCCTATAAACTCTCAGTTGTTTTGGGCCTACGGTTGAGACCAGTGTAATTGCAACATGGATGGCTTAGTTATACAAATGGGCCAGTTGTTTTCCTGCAGTCCAATTGTTAGGCAACAGCCAGCAACGGGTAGGGAATGCTTAGTTTATACAGACATTCTTAGTTTTTCATCCAGCAGACCATTTTCAATTATTCTTTTTTTGGTCAGGTTTTTTTTTTTATTCAATCTGCTCGGCCAACTTACAGTCTATTCGGTTGAGCCTTCATGTACTTGGTCATGGCCGAGTCAAAATCTTTTTAGCACGTTCTATTTGTATATGATCATGTTGTCACAACATGACTTAATAACTCTGACCTTCATCTATGTTGGAATTATGATATTCATGAAAGATAAATTTTTTATAGTCTGACTCTAAAAATTGTCAAAATTCGAACTCGGGACGTTTTGGTTAACAACACGTTCATGTTACTACTTGAGCTATCCCTTAGGATTATTGTGTCTAAGTTGTCCACATACAAATCTGCTGAACTTATTCCTGTNTGTCAAAATTCGAACTCGGGACGTTTTGGTTAACAACACGTTCATGTTACTACTTGAGCTATCTCTTAGGATTATTGTGTCTAAGTTGTCCACATACAAATCTGCTGAACTTATTCCTGTTATTCGAAAATTCCAAGAGCAAAACAAGCAGGCAAAATTAAGCAATTGAAAACAGCTTAACAGGCAGCTCAAATTAACATCAGTACAGCAATTGAAGCCAAACCCATTTTCACTAATAAGCTTGGGTCCAACAGTGCTCGACAGGTGCTGCTTGTACTCCTTTTTGAGTCTGAACTTGAACCAGTTTCGGAAGAAGAAGATGGAGATTTTGATGAAGTAGTTTCAGAATTAGCTGGTGTTGAACTTGAACCTGTTGTTGAGTTTGTGGCTCCTGAACCTCCTCCATCTGCCACTTTGAAGATCTTTGCGTCTGGTGAATCTGGTGGGAGTTTCAGTATAGCTGTATGTATTGTATAAAACAATATGAAAACAACAATCAGTATGTTATATATATATATATATATTCAGTAAAATCCGAGTATTTCCTATGCTCAAAATTTTAAACTCGTGTTAAGGAACTTGGATTGAAATTCGGTTTGACATCCCCATGGTTAAAACTTAAAACCAGGGTTTAACTCGGGCTAAAATTAGATTCAATTCGAGTCTAAATTTTGATTCTTGGTATATATAACTTCCGCTGCAATTTAAATTTTGTTTTGTTTAACAGTTAGCTAAATTAACTTACGTGCACCTCAATTAATATTCTCTCCGGTTTGATCAAAGGCAGGCCTCATAGCCGAGCCCAAAGAAGTTGCCAAAATTTGAATTATGACGTCTGGATTTTCAACTCATCCTTATTACTATTTGAATTGGATCCAAACTTATGAATTTGGGTTAGATCTCAAAAATCCTGATCCGAACTAATCCAAAATTAAATCGATGGAGATTTATTTTTTTTAGCCTGACTAAGTATTTGAATATTTCAAATTGAGTTTGAATTGACCAACTCAAGCACACCCCTTAATTTGAAATAAAATATTGAATTCATAGTATTTTTAGTTCTTAAAATATGTTCTTTTAATCAATTTGATCCTCATTATATTGATTTTTTCAATTTAGTTCTTAAAATTTTAATTCGTGTCACTTTGATCCCTAATCAAATAATTTATTAAGTTTTTTTAATGAAAGTGACTACGTGTCATTCTTTTAGATAGTATCACATGTCCAACATACGATTATTCTATAAAAAAAACTTAACAGTTCGTCTATGTAATGATCATTTAAATATAAATTGAATACTTTAAAGACCAAAATAACAAAATTAGTATTTTAGGGATCAAACTGATAAAATATATATACTTTAGAGATTAAAAGTGTTATTAATCCAAAAAATTGAATTTTTCTTGAAAGAGGGATAGTAGTTGAGTAAGTACTTGGGCAATCAGAGATTTTGGCATCAATGTTGCAAGCTGCTGGCATTTGAAGGGCCAAAGTGGTGTTGATAGGGAGGCCCATGGAGGGGTCAGTGCTCTCTTTGATGAGCACACACAAGCACTTGGGCTTAACAGACTTCACTTTCTGTGTGTCCTCACAACACTCCGGGGTCGGCTTCTTGGCACCGCCGCTCACGAACGGAATGCAGGCTGCGAGGTTTGCCAGTTGGTCTGCGCAGTCCTTCTCGTCATCCTCCATTGTGGCCATCACCGCCACCACCAACAATGCTGCAAATATGCAAAAAATCACCACCTTCTGACCACCCTTCCTCCCCATTTCACTCTCTTTTGTACCCTGTGGTTTTGTTGATTATGAGAATATGTTATGGTTCTTACCCTCTCTTAATGTTGTATTTATACTTGATTGCTTCCTTTATTCATGGGGGTGTGTTTGTTGAGTGTATATATAGAGTAGGGATGTCGNAAAAAATAATAAATATATTTGTATTTATATTCAAAATCAAATCACAAATATAGAGAAAAAATAAAGGAATTTAAGTATCGATTTGTAGTGGAGGTGAAAGGTGGTAGGCGGCAATAGTGGTGATAGGAGACAGTGATGGTTGTGTTGGGTGATAATGACCGTATTGGCCTAGGTGGTGGTAATGACGACGGTGATGGTAGTGGTGGTGGTGGCGATGGCGGTTGTGGTGGTGGTGTGGGTGGCGGCGACGACGATAGTGGCGGCGACGACGATAGTGGCGTTGATATTGGCAGTGGTGGTGGTGGTGAGGTGGTTTCAAATACTATTTTTTTTTAAAGTATTTATAATATGTAATTTCTATAAATACTTTTAAAAAATCACTCCAAATACNTGCTACGTAACTCAAATTTGTAATAAAAATTTATATTTCAAATGAAGGAGAACTATCGGATGAGTGAGTTACATTAATTTTCTTAAATAGAACTCACTGATCCAATAATCCCCTTTATTTGAAATATAAATTTGAATTGTAAATTTAAGTTACATAGCATTGTTCTTTGAAAATACACAACAATTCCTACTTTTTCTTGACTGGTGTTTTTGTCACTCGAAACTCATCAGCTTAAATCACTTCAAATGATAGAAATAACACAAATTGAGAGATAATCCCGATTCAGTTAACACTAATATGAGGGTAACAAACAAGTTTTAAGTCTTAAGTTCTTCTATATTCTTATCTTAGGCTAGCTCATAATATCATGGATGGAGTGGGACCCGGGCGGGGGGNGGGGGGGGGGGGGGGGGGGGGGGGGGGGGGGGGGGGGGGGGGGGGGGGGGGGGGGGGGGGGGGGGGGGGGGGGGGGGGGGGGGGGGGGGGGGGGGGGGGGGGGGGGGGGGGGGGGGGGGGGGGGGGGGGGGGGGGGGGGGGGGGGGGGGGGGGGGGGGGGGGGGGGGGGGGGGGGGGGGGGGGGGGGGGGGGGGGGGGGGGGGGGGGGGGGGGGGGGGGGGGGGGGGGGGGGGGGGGGGGGGGGGGGGGGGGGGGGGGGGGGGGGGGGGGGGGGGGGGGGGGGGGGGGGGGGGGGGGGGAAGGGTGGGGGGGGGGGGGGGGGGGGGGGGGGGGGGGGGGGGGGGGGGGGCTCACATGAATATTTGGTTAATTTAACAGTCCAATATGAAAATGGATAATAGCTGATGGGCAATACCAAAGTTTCATTTATGTGCTTTGAGAAGTGGGATTTCATCTTCCCAATGGAAGTTTGAATGAAATTGAACAGTGATGTTTGGATTCCCAATGGTATCCTATCCCCCAATTATTTCTCAGGTATGGCAAAATCTTGCACCAGCACCACCAATAAAATCCGGATATGGTTACCGTACCGTTTTGATTAATACCATATCAAAATCGATATAGAAACTAGACTTTTAGTTTGATTGATTTATAACCATTGATTTTAAAAATGAGAAAGTAACGAAAAATAAAAAAATAAGAAAATTTTTGTATGTATCATATTTTTATTGGATGAAAAAAAAAATATGATACTAAAAAATAATATTTCAATATCATAGNCTAGACTTTTAGTTTGATTGATTTATAACCATTGATTTTAAAAATGAGAAAGTAACGAAAAATAAAAAAAATAAGAAAATTTTTGTATGTATCATATTTTTATTGGATGAAAAAAAAAATATGATACTAAAAAATAATATTTCAATATCATAATCAGACGCATAAAACCCACAAGGTGCTGTTTGGTAAGGGGTATGGGGTATTTTTTTTTTTTTTTGGGGGGNAATCAGACGCATAAAACCCACAAGGTGCTGTTTGGTAAGGGGTATGGTGTATTTTTTTTTTTTTTTGGGGGGTGGGTCAGAAAGATGGGTTTGGAGAAAATAGTCCAAATGACTCTGAAATCTTCTATTTGAATTAAAAATTTAATTTTAGGCTCCTAAACTTAGCCCGCAGTTGATCTGAATATTAAACCAATGATCATAGGTTCTGTCAAACATAAAAGGTTGAGCTTGGAAAGATGAGTTAAGGATGTAAAATATATTTGTACCCGTTAACACATGTATGAATTAGATTGATCAAAGACAAAATAGTTATTTATAAGACAAATAGTTGTTAATAATTATAATATATCCGTAGGTTTTTATGTATATGTGTTGCATGTCAAACATGAGTACAAAACAAATTTAATGTTGAATCTCATCTTTGTAAAGAATAATTTGAATTTAAATTTTAGTTTAGAAGAAATTAAGAAAGTAAATCCAAACCATCTCCAAAATTTCATCCAAACAAGTCCCAAGAGTTCTCTCTCTCGCCAGGAACCGCTGCTGGAAAATTGGCTGACATCTATCTTTTTGTGCCNTGTATGTGTTGCATGTCAAACATGAATACAAAACAAATTTAATGTTGAATCTCATCTTTGTAAAGAATAATTTGAATTTAAATTTTAGTTTAGAAGAATTTAAGAAAGTAAATCCAACCCATCTCCAAAATTTCATCCAAACAAGTCCCAAGAGTTCTCTCTCGCCAGGAACCGCTGCTGGAAAATTGGCTGACATCTATCTTTTTGTGCCTCTTTTCCATGCCTAAGTTGCTCATTGTATTTGGCTTTTAAGTCAACGAAAAGGATTGAAATCTACAATCAAAGCTGGGATGGAAGGATTTCAGTAGTCAATACTTCTAAATCCTTAGTACCATTTGAGTTATCCTGACAATTTTAATCCATTGCTGATAATTTAAGTTTTGGTAATTTGAGTTGAAAAGTATTTTAACCCCCAAAAAAAAAAAAAACTTGACTTGAAAAGACAGACTCAAGTAAAAAGGTTTCAGATCCTCTCCATTACCCCTTTTCTTCAATTCCTCTCAATATAATGTTAAATGAGTGATATGTATAATATTTTGAATTTCAATGGATAAAATTTTTTTCTTGTCAGAAAATTCCTTAATAATGATTAACACTCCATCAACAACAAAAATGAATGAGGAAACATCTTATTCATTGAAATTCAAAATCTTATACGTGTCACTCATCTAGCACTGTATTAAGAAAAATTGAAGNTATTACGTAACTCAAATTTGTAATAAAAATTTATATTTCAAATGAAGGAGAACCATCGGATGAGTGAGTTACATTAATTTTGTTAAATAGGACTCACTGATCCAATGATCCCCTTTATTTGAAATATAAATTTGAATTGTAAATTTAAGTTACATAGCATTGTTCTTTGAAAATACACAACAATTCCTACTTTTTCTTGACTGGTGTTTTTGTCACTCGAAACTCATCAGCTTAAATCACTTCAAATGATAGAAATAACACAAATTGAGAGATAATCCCGATTCAGTTAACACTAATATGAGGGTAACAAACAAGTTTTAAGTCTTAAGTTCTTCTATATTCTTATCTTAGGCTAGCTCATAATATCATGGATGGAGTGGGACCCGGGCGGGGGGGGGGGGGG